GTTGGCTTGCTGCGTGGTGCTCATTCTTAAATTGAATCAGGCTCCACTTTACCTTTGTTCTCAAGAAGTCGTACGCATTCACCTGTTGACAAGGTCAACATAAATAGTCTAAAGCAATTTTTAGCTCAGACCTGATTAAGGTTTGCTAGGGTAAATATAAGGGTAAAGTTGTGTACCCATCCGTTCGGCGTAAGGGTCGCTATCGATGAGATTACAAGTGCAATGTCACGTCACCATGTTGTAGCTGGCACGTCGGACATCCGCGTAAACTTCGTTACTCCTTCAAAGTAATACTGAAAAAGTAGAGAAAGGCGTTGTGGATAACTTTGGCGGAGTTCCCCGTGGGCACTCGTGCAACATAAAGACGCCTCGTGCATAAAAGTAACCTATGAACATATTGAAAACAACAACTTTTGGTTATTAATTTAACAGCGGTTTCAAACAGATCAATTCCCAGCGGGGTCAAGCATCCGCTGAGAAATCCTTGGGGAAAGGGTCGTATTTAGGTGCACTTGAAAAGGGGTGGTCGGTCGTCATTTTGAGGGCTTGTCACTAGTCAAACAAAAAGCTGTGACAACACTGAGTGAGGGATAGAGAGAGAAAGCAAACCTAATGACGTGATAGTATGATCCAGCCGATCTAGAGCGAATAGTTGAAAATTCAGGTGCTCTCCTGGTAAAGTCTAGGTTGTAACAGGATTTTAATATGTACATATTTGAAGGCATGTTGGCCACGATAAATCGCCCGCAAGACGAGTAGTTTAATACGCCTGGCAGGACCGGGAATTCCGGGCGAACCCTGAGCAGGCGCCTGCCACAATGCGTTTTCCAAGGGAGGTGGCCCTTATTAGGACGCCGCTATCAAGCCACCAACATACTGACACAGCACACGCCACGCCTGCCCGCCCACAAATGGGACGACCAGTCTCCTGCACTGTAATCTGGATTCATTTTGCTAAAGCAAATTATTGGAGCGAAGGGATTGGTATGAAGCGGCCGTGATGCTGCATGGATATATGAGTACACATATGCAGCCGTACCTTCGGTAGCGGTTATTGGCAAGATGCCTACAGGAAACTCGTCCAAAATTGATTTCTAACACATTGAGAACGGAGGCTCTTTCTATAGCGCCTTAGTAGCATTTTAGGCCTAGCACCAAATCCCAACTGCGTTTAAGTGGTGCACATCTCGTAATTCCAATATTTTTTGCCACTTCTTCATGAGCTATGTGTGAGCAAACTCATGCCATTCTATCAACAATGATTTTTTTAGGAAAGGGATCGCACCGATGGGCCAGTTTTCTCGACGTGGCGCTTGTTCCCGGAACAGATGCGGTCATTTACTTCATCCGGCTCCGCACCCAACAGTGCTTTCAGGTGCCAGAGCCTCTGACGAGAAGGCAGACTTATCAAGGGTTTTTACATGCAATGAAGAAAGAATTGAAAAGGTAAAGGTCGTGAGAAGTAAGATTAAATGCAAACATGCTAACACGACCATGCATGCTAGGAGAGTACTGCCTTAGTACACTAGCGGGGTGCTGTTTGGCGACGGAGGGGGCATTTTATACTATCATTGCGTCCTTAGTTCCGGTTTACAAGTCTCACTCTGGCGAAACCTGTGAACTCTTGTGAAGCTGGAGCAAGGTCATCAAGCCATCATGTTAAAACCTGTCAACTCGAGAAGAGGCTGTCTAGATAGGTCGACACGTCGATGGGAAGTAGCAAAAGTGCAAAATGCCCCCCCCCCGTCGCCAAACTGCGCCCACCAGAGGTACTTAGATGACTATCAGAACAGTGAAGTCTCTGGTAGCTATATTGGAACACTAGTACTTATCTCATGATGTGCTGGTCTAATTCCTCTAATGCACTAGCAATTCTGACAATGTTAGTTGTCATGGCACCGCTTGTAGGAATAAGGTATTTCTGTAAGTCATGAGTTCTCTTTAATATCACAAAAACATGTGATTAATATAGCTTAACTGCTCGTGTACTACGACTTCGGGGTATTCAGGGTTCGGTCAAGGTTTCTAGAAGGCTCCAGACAAGCCTTATAAATAGTAACCTATTATTACCAAATGTCAGTATTTTGCGTATAAGCACATACTATACGCAACTATAATCAGTATAGTCCAAGATGACTCAAGGTAGATTTGAAGAGAAGTGTCACTATCAAGCCTAAAAGCATCTGAGACTTTCGCTGTCGAAATCTCTTCAGTGTATAGTCTAGTTCGCTGCGAACGAAGGGGCGTGTCAGACGGGATGAATTTGCGCGGTGGCGAACTGGTTCTTCACCAGTTGTTGAAGTTCGCTGTTCGCTGATTGATTGAGAGCAAGTGATAAGACGCATAATATTTATTTATTTATTTGAATGTACGTCAGTCATCAGTTTTCAAAAAAAAGAGAAACAAGAAGGGATAGACACTCAACAGAGACATGCAGTATTCTCAAAGAAAGAATAGAAACAAGAAGGTCTATACATCAGCTGACACTAGAATTCGCCGCAATTAAAAAAAGCTAGGCCTTAAAGCACAAACTGTTCGAGAAGCGGAAAGAAATGCAGGGAAGCTGCGATTCCTGTCAAGGAACGAACCTGCTCGCTCTTATGAAAGCCAACTGATACCATCCATGACACCATCAACCAGCTTGATTGGTAGACTATCTGTTCTCGGAACTTGACCTTGAGCTGACCACAAGACGAAAACCTTGACCCTCCAATGCTATGATAGAATTCCCCCCCCCCCCTCCACTCCGGCCTAGAGAACTCGCTCGGGCAAATTCTGAAGCAGATTTGAGATCAGAGAACGTCCCGGAGACGTACACTGTCGATAGCCATCTCATCATTGAATGGCCATGGCGCGAACTTGTGACCTTCCCAGGAATAGTAACTTTCGCCTCTGATAATGGGGAAAACTGAAGAACGCCACCGCCTAGAACGATTTCTGAACATTTTGAGTCGTTGGACATATCGTGATAGTTGCATATACTTGTTACTGGTATAACAGCCTCAATAGTATAGCATACACCAAATAAAGCTCTGAGCTCTATGCCCAAATGTGACGAGAAAAATGCTCTTCACGAATTATGCAACTCCTATGTTCCTGCTGCAGGATTGCTTCTGGTGAGGATATAGCTAGCCGTGAATCCAGAGTTTTCGGATCAAGGGAACCTCAAGCTTAATGCCGTTTGGACTCCAGAAATTTCGGCACCGAGCTCATTTTTAAATTGCCTAAGTCACCAAATCCGCTAAAAACTTGTATGTAGGGGTAGTTTAACATCCTGATTACGAATATGACATTCACTCTTGTCGCTGGCGCTAATGGATGACACTACGATTACCTCCTGGGCTCAGCCTTAGCAGAGCGCAGATAATCGTAAGTGTCATCCATTAGCGCCAGCGACAAGAGTGAATGTCATATTCGTAATCAGGATGTTAAACTACCCCTATATACAAGTTTTTAGCGGATTTGGGTGACTTAGGCAATTTAAAAATGAGCTCGGTGCCGAAATTTCTGGAGTCCAAACGGCATTAGCCGGAAACCTCTCGCTGTGATAACCAAAGAAGCAGATGAGTCAATGCTACTTGGCAATGATGCTGACGTGGTGTGATGATTACTGGATAGCGAGGATTAGAAGGACCGATTACATAGGCAGAAGTATAGTGGAGCTGAAAGAATAGTTAGGAGGGGGGGGACGGTCGCTTTTTACCAGAAAGCTTTTCCACAACACGAATATGTGCCATTCTCCATCTGCTTTCCCACGATCTTGCGGATATTCTTGATGCAGTTTCCATGCGAGATTACGCAGAGGGCCCTATTTCGCTCTAATACTGCTCTTTGGACATCGTCACCATGAATTACGACTTGTTTCTCGTGACAGCGAAAAGCAGCATTTCATACTTCGCGACGGTAGCCTTTCGGTCGCGCGTGCGACGCGATCGCTCGCGCTATGGAGTCAGTCGTACAAGCGATCGTGTCTTATTCAATCGCGCTAAATGCTGATATTGACTGGATCGCTGCTACACATTTCGCTACTAAATCTATAGGTTGAGAAGTGGGTCCTGCTGCGAACACCATACCGCTTGTTACGCCTCATTCACAGCGACTCGAGTAAACACCCTACACCCAGATATCTTTACCCTGGGTCAAAGTTCCCTAAGAAACAGGTTGAAGCCTATTGCATGGCTGAGATAGCAGATCCATTGTAAACACGTCACTTTTCATACTAAGTGTTTCGCAGTAAAACATCACAACTATAAGCACATTTATTTCTACTTTAAATAGAAACAGCACAAAAATTGAAATGTACAAAAGACGACGAGAACAGAACAAGGAGCGCTGCTGGCTGACCGATCGACCAGCGTTTGGAGCAATGCTGGCCAAATCCGACTAGCCAGGAAGTCACTCAAAATCACACGCGACCAAAGTAGACGACAAAGAACAATTGCTGAGCTCTGAGTGAACGCACAGCTCAGTTACCGGTAATTATGCGCTTATTAGACACGACACCGCGACTCTCATATAAAAAAATGAACATAACAATTACTAAATAGATATCACTGAGAACGGGGCCATGGGTCCCATGACGAGACAACACGTGGGAAAAATCCCCGTGTCGGGGGAATACTGGAGTGGTGGCTCACACAAAACGCTAGAAGAAATATAGAGAAATTACAATTTGAACTAGACACATGGCATAGGTGCTAGGAACGGCGGCTCTAGAGGGCGGTGTAGCTCATTCTTGTGACAAGGACAAGGGAAATTGAGCAAGGTAATCTGAACATGTCAGGGCGCGCAGGGGTCGGGGTGGGTTAAGAAACGAAAGATTGTGAGCAAGGACAGGATATCGCTAAGGCGCAGGAGATACGCGCCGACGTCGATCGGAAGCAGACCAACGCGAATCTGTCGAGAGCACCGCTACGTCCAGGAGCTTCAGGAGTATCCCAAGGCATCGTCGGAAGTCAGCGATGACGATGGCGGTGACGGTGACCAGATCAACAGCAAGTTTACTCTTCTTTCAGCATCATCACACAGCCGCTCCCGTCGACAGTAGCCCTTTGCTTCACCTTCTTGTCTTTCATCCGTCGGTTCTGAAAATAATGAACTTACTCTATTACGGAAAGTATAAAAATAGCTACCAAAGAAATGGAAAAATAGCAACTTCAACTTGAAAAGAATAAATATACAGCGCGTCTTTATTCATTTATTCAGGAAGCAGTGCAGTCAGGGTACAGTTTCATTGGAGAGTCCCATCAGGAGGCGCTCATAATCGCTTCCATCGAGAAGTGAGGAAAAAAGCGGGTGGCGAATATATAAAACTTGGAAGACTGGAGAAGTAGCGATGGAGGGACAGGGCAGGCCATCACGCGAGGGCAGAGCATTGCAGGCCGCGGAATTCGTTCTTGGCAAACTCATATTCTGCTATCCGATCAGCCCTTAAATGGCCTAGTGCCGAGTGGCAAGAGTAGTTCACCGCGTGCCCACTGTCATTTTTGGGCCTCGAATCGAATCGCCACCAGGCCAAAAACAGTCTTATTTTAACTGCACATGATCTTGATGGATACCTATCCATTTCCCAAAACAGTTAAAAAGGATTGAGCGGGAACAGCAGGGACACCACCGTAGATTGATATCCCCTGGGTGGAGTGCGCCGTCCACTCTACCCCATTTCAGAGTAGTACCGTTGACTTTATTGAATGGCCGATTCGCCCGCTCATGCAAGGCTTGTTGGAGACAGGCTATGCACGAGTCGGATTGAGCTTGATGCTCCCCAGGGGCACAAGTCTATTACCTATTCACCGTATCCCAGAGGCAATGAAAGCGACTTACTAAGCCCTGACGGCAATTTAAGATTCCACCGGCCGGTACCGCGAGGCTGTCGGTAAGGCGCTTCAACTTGCTCCCCTACACTACCTCCGCCACTGCGGCAAGAAGCTGTGAGGTAAACAAGTAGCTAGCTGCAAATAAATTAGTTCATAAACGATAAGTCGCCAGTTTTATTGCAGAAGGAGTAATATTTCAGTGAAATATCACTGGTATCTTCTGAGAAACCGGTTTATTGCTTTGAAGATATCTAGTCACTTTCCTAATTTACTCTATTGACAGTTTGGTCAATTCTTCATTTCTTCCACCCCATCATTAATACACCATAGCTTTATTGGCAATTTATATCACGCTTGTTTTTCAGTTCGATGTAAATTGCCTAATAATTTGCACGTTTTTATTTACATTTTGTAATCGATTTACACTATTATAGTGTGCCCCAAAAAAATCAGCAAATGCAAAACTGCAGATTACATTATCCAGTTAAAGAAGTGGGTGTGGTGCAATTGGGGCGTAATAGGGGACAAGTTTTGAGGTGATCTGTACAGTATCGTCGTGCAGAGATGTTCTTCATTTTCCTGAGGGAGAGGGAAGAGAGTGAGAGAGAATAAATAAATGCTATGTCGGGTTCGCATATGGTACTGCTGACTAGCGAATTTTAGCTGCGGGGGGGGGTTGCGGGCGGCAGCCGGCGCGCGGCCGCGCGGGGCCGGGTACTCAAAAGGCCTTGAACGTTGATATCTTCAGTTCAGCTTAATCTGAGACTCATCTGGGCACTAGAATGTTTGTCAAATACCTTTAGAACTGAGATGCGACTCTAGAGGGCCTTGGAAGCGGCACTCAACAAGAATCCCTTTGGTGCCGAAAACAGTTATGCGCGCATGAGAAGCTCTTCCCCAACGATTCAGTCTCTGGGAGAGAGTGGGATCGTTCGAGCGGTGGCGGGAACCAACTGGAAGCTACGGGGAATGTACTCGCGCATAAGGCTAAATCTGAGTTTTGTTACAGAAGGGCCCTTTGAATGCCCCTCCACGCCTTAGCGCGATACTCTACTCTGACCACAACCATTCTACAGAAACCAAGACTTCACTCAAAGGTGTGCCTCCAGGAAACGTCTTAGGATTGTTCCAAGTATCTATAGTATCTCGAAAGGCATTTCCAAGGTGAATGGGGCTTATCAGGTTTCTTCAGGAATAATGTGCAAAAGAATAAAATCTTGGAAAAGGAATACTTCAATACTATCTAGCTTTATTTGGAACTGTAACTACCATACCTGGAACCAGATTTTCACTTGTCGTTCGGTAAGGCCGAGTGTTCGTGCCAATTCCCATCGTTTCTGCTTGCTCACATAGGTATTGTAGAGGAATTCCTTTTCTAATTCTAACGTCTGATATTTAGTGTAGGGCTTTCGCTTCTTTCGCATCGAATGGTTTCCCGTCCAATCGAGGGAAGGTTCTGAAATGGCAGAAATTTCGTTTTGAACACCATTTCTTATCTGAAGTGCAGTATATAGGAGAGCTTTCTACGCTGATCAATCCCTTTTGGGATACGCCATGCATTTTCTTCTGTTCAGATGCGTGGTGGCATTTTGAATGCGACCTGGCCTAGGAAAGCGATGTACATGTCAGTGTGTCTCTACTCCCCCACATAAGTCTGTTCCGGAGGGATGAAAAGTTTGGTATTGCGTTCTTCTTATCCAAAATTTGATTCGCGACTTGTTCCTGTGACTAGCAGCTACAGCTTTCGATACTGCACCTACTGCACTGCTACTTACTGCTCGAAAATACCGGAAGTCCATGCCTCTCTGCGCTCTTTTTCACACACTCAACCCACATGTCTTTGCTTCACGGGGAAGCCACAAAGATATTTTAAATTACCCTTTCAACCTGTTCAATCTCACGATGATCTCAATCTCACCACGGGATTTATTACGAAGGTTTTGCATCGTACAGTGCACGGTCAGGAACCGTAGCAAGCGCTTACAGGTCGTGTGCCACAGAATCTGGCCCGTTTCTATTTTAACCTCCGGTTGGCCCTCAAATAACCATCAACTGGCGCGCTTCCAGTCAGCTTTTAGATCGGTTTTTGCCTTAACGATGAGTAGCTTTCCTGTACATGACAGAATTGCACTGATAGCGGCACAACACCGCCATGGCACCTCGTACGTCGGGATTCCCAGTGAGGGAGGGGGTGAGTGGATTGTGTATTTCATCGCTGGGGAGAAAATCTAAAAACATGTCAGGTAGGATGGAGGATAGTGAAAGGGAGTCGGTCGCGCCACAAAGCTCTGAGAGGGCCGTAGTCTGCGAAAATTGCCCCCAATGGCAGGATGTGCCCTTAACACCGCTCGTCGGCGGAAGCAGCAGTACAGTAAGCGACTGACTGAGTGATATGTTTCGTTGAGGTTCTACTCCTCCTGTTTCAGAGAACCCTAGCCTCTCTCAACCCATATTTTTCTTTCCTTCGCTTTCTATCAGGTGATGTGATCAAGTCGCAGATGTCAAAAGATAATGTATGCGTGTCATCACCTGGCTACCATAAACTGTGGCTGGCAGGCGGCCAATTATATCTCAATCTACAGAAACAATGCAATTAAACCATGCATCGTATGCCTACACTCCTAAAGGAAGTGAAACGGGAGGCCGGGTGGTTGGCTGGTCGTCAAGCAGCTGCTCCAGTTGCTACTGGTGCTGCGTGACGATCACGAACGTGAGGGAGGGTAGACTCGTAAAACCAACCGTCTAATCAAAAGGGTTTACGAGTCCCCACGGCTTATGCGGCAAACGTGCTCGACGGCTAATTGGATCATGTTTTGCATGACTACCGTATACCATAGCGAAATCTACGAAATGAGTTCCGCGATTGACATTGACGTTGATACCCGGAGAATTAGTCTTATTGCGGATGAGGATGATAAATAGTCAACTTTGCAGACCGTCGAAACTTAGGGCCTAAGGTCAGAATTAGACTTAACTGAGGTGCCGTCTAACCCCGGCAACGATGCTAACAATAAGGCTCAGATCGCGAATTTGCGAAGCTTAAACTTTGCAAAGCCCTTTTAAAGGTAAAAGTCCAGAATGCAATCTTTCAAATCACGAAACACGGCATCCCGGTATTGTACAAGTAAGCTGGACCTCACTGACCACTGATTGTTCTAGGACAAGCTCCCGTTGCTATACGAAGAACTTTACATATCGGTTGGTTCAAGAAGGAGAGCGATGGAAAGGTCTATTCATAAACGGGAAGAAAATTCCAATGTTTCCTTTCAGTTAAGTCCAAGGGAAATGAATGCATTAGTACCGCAGTTTTAGTGGTTATGACGGCTAGTTACTGCTCTTGACCAGAAGAAATACTAACAAAGCCGAAAGATGCAGAAACCAAGCCGAATTTCCGATGGGGTACGTAGTATATGAACTGGGAAGATCCTTTATATTCGCATTCTCTAGCAGACTCCTGAATACAGCGACTGCTTGTCCAAGTATCGAAAGAGAGTTTCCCCGCCATGAACGATCGAGGTGTCCAAATCAGGAGATTTCTATGTACCCTGGCTTAACTACAATAAAATGTGGGCGCAGTTTGACCTGTAGAGGTACAAAATTCTATTCAGCTGAGCTTGTATAGGCCATCTCGTCATGAACTGGGAATTCCTGTCAGCGAAGCCGCTCACAATCAGTTCGCAGCTTTACAGAAAAATACAGGTCTCACAGTAAGTGTCCTGTTAGTCAGCATGAACTAGCAAAAAGAATTTGCGAAAGTGCAAACACCCCGCCAAACAGTGCAGAAGAATTTGGCTCTACTAAGTTTGACTTATCAGCACACAGCTAACTGTTCTGGCCTGAGACTTTCTAAGCGCGTTGTCGAGGGGGGGGTGTGCATTTTGCACTTTAATGACTTCCCATCGACTGTTGACCTACCTAGATAGCCCTCCTCTCAAGTTAACAGGTTTATCATGACGGCGCTTGACGAGCTTGCTTCAGCTTCACAAGAATTCACAGATTTCACCAGAGTGAGACTTGTAAACCAAACTAGTGAAAGCAACGAAAAGCAACGATGCTCCCCTCCCCTACCGTCGGCAAACCTGCCGCCACCTATCTATGTTTACCAGAATGGAAGCCGCAGTATACTTTACTAAGAAATGGACAGGCAGATTACATTTATGACAATATTGTCCACTTTGGCAGTCTCACCTGCCCAGTTTCACCAGCAAGCAGCTTCTCACGCGAATAATTATGAATTGGTGACGGTTCAAAACTAGGGTGTTGGACACTTGAGGAGAGCAAATTGTGAACCGAGCTTCTAGTGATTTAAATTTTTAGACTGAATATCAGCAAGAAGATGTGATCAGTGCGAGCTTGAATCCACGTATAGGTGTATGAGCGGTTGCCGCGCTCTGCAGTTTAATTTCATCAATGACATCTAGGTCTAGCCGCAGCAAGTAGGAACTACCATGCTACAGGAAGTGCTGTTGCCTCACAGATTTATCTTAAAAAGGCGGTCCCATAGTGATACTGCTTCTACTTATCCTTAATACTTGTTGTTTCTTTCTTATTTGCAGTGATTAAAAGCAACTGTCAGATAAATAAATGAAAGAATAAATGGATGAGCTGCCCAGAGCCATGGACAGCTAACCAATGTGCTAAGTAATCCATTACGTGAAAGCTTTAGGGTAAGCTGTATGAAAGAATCCAAAGCTATCGAAAATGATTACTATCGAATATTTTACTGTTTCAACTTGTTGAAGGGATCTATTCGTTTGCACGGCGAGCACTTTTGTACCTCATTATCGTCAAGGTGAACCCCAAAAACTGAGATCATCGTCGGACGGACCTTTATCTGCCTGTTGCTCGATCTCCTCCAAATTGGAATGTTTTTCGAGAATTTTTTTTACTCTCTGTGAAACCATTCTGCTGTATGTGCGACGACCGTTTTCTCGCTGCAGCTACTTCAGTCTCGAGTATATATGTTAGAAAAAACCGAAATGAGAGTCCTGTGAAGAAAACTGAGTAAATTCTTAAGTTTGTCCCTCAACTTTCACTTCAGTCCTTCTTTAAATAGGTGGTTAATTTATACTTTTGAAAACTTTCGACTCGTCGGCGAATACCTCGAGTGAAAAGTGCACCAAATACTCAAGCATGTAACATCAAATACTGTTGCAATGTTTGTTTGCTTGAGAAGTTAATTAAACTTCGCTTTCAATGCCTTGAGATTTTTTATACTTTCAACCCCACTGAATCGATGAGTGCCGACTCGCTCACGGCAGGTGTCTTACTGTACTCTGTTCTTACCAATGACTCTTCACTCGATTAGTCAAAGACGAGAGCTGAGAATCTATATCCCGAAAGTTATCACAAGATTGCAGAGGTATGAGCAAGAGTCTTGACTTCAGGTGGAACCTGTTCCCGCACCCCACACTTTCCAGGCGACTAAGCCATGTTTACACAACTAGTTCAAAAAAAAATATAACCTGTTTCTCTAAGAAGGGAGTTCTTCCTAAAAGGGGATCAGCGACCGGATGCGCCATGGCTTACCCTAAACGCCCGGAAAGGAAACGACCTGCCCCTAAATGTTTTATGTGGCCACTATCAAGCAGGGCGAGGAAGGCACTAGAAACGAAGGTTAGTTCACGACAGAATCCTTCTGAAAAACACATTCAGCCGCCCTGCCCATTTAGTAAAGGCTTCAAGGGCCCAGGAGTTACATGTCAGGGTAAAATCATTATCGCGCTAAAAAAGACAAGTAATAACTTAGGCACCTAGTAAAGTTATGTTTTCCTAGGGCCGGAAACTTCTGGGGACAAAATTTCGGTGAGCTGATTGGCCAAGGTAATTGTGAGATACGTTCAGTCGGAACAACCAGTTCTGCTCCTCTCTTCCGGGTCCCACAAAACAGTTTCTGTATCCCATGAAGTAGCCGAGTTGCACTGAATTTGCATTTCCTTGTAGGAAAGTTCAAATTCCAAGGTAAGTCCAACTAATGCTTCTATGACCGGGAGAATTCACCTACGGTCCCTCTTATTGTTCCACAAAATCAATGAAGTGTCAGCCAGGTGAGACGACTGGCTGTTTTTCGTCAAATGTCAGTTTGAATGTGATTGTCGGCAAGATCAAAGAGGCTCCACGATTCATTGCATTTATCAGGGTAAGTCAATAGGAAAAACTTCACAGAGGAATTATTCCATGAAGCGATGGGAAAACGTACGGATGGACCCCGGGAATCCATTATCACAGCTCCGATGTAGGGGAAGATTTGTACCTTTCTAGGTAGGTTGGACCTGTTCGGCTTGGAGGGTGCACTAAATGGTACTCAGCGAAGCTTTTACTGACCACCTTGTCAAGACGTGTAATAACCTTTGACCGCTTGTACCATTTCACAGCTCCCCAAGAGTTTACAGGTAAACCTGTTGTTAACGTGGTCTACGAAGATACTAGCGAGGCCAACTTGCGTCCCTCCCTCCTCACTAGGACGAACAGAACCCCAATTATGCGGTTTATGCAGACTAGGCCTCCCTGAGAAAGATCTGATGGAGTTCCCTTTTCAGCGATTGTACTTCATGGCCATAAGTGGGTTGAGGCTTACACTTACTCCGACCTATCCCAACCGGAGCCCCGCTTCACGGGTTCCCGAAACCAGGGAATCTGCAAATGCAGTATCCTAAATTAATGGCCGAAGATACCGTATTAATCAAGGGCTTTACTGTAAGCCTATAAGTATATCCCCTCAAAGCATTCATCAAGGCTTGTCCAGCGCAAACGTCACGACCTCGACAAGTTCTCATGTTCCGTCCGTTTACTTTATCATATTGTGATGGCTGTTTTGACAGACTGACGTTTACTCC